TATATTTATATTAGTTCTATCGGAAAGTTCTGTCCATTCTGACAAACGCCGATTCAATTTTTCGTCTCTAGGGATAAAACATTTTTTAAAAATGCAATATACAAATTGTCATCACACTATGATAAGAAATTATAAATAATGATAATTGATGAATATTAGTCAATTAAAGAGATATGAAAATTTATTACTTTTGTTTTATTCTAAAAATGGGCAGAACTTTCCGGTAGACCTAATATATATATTTATTTTCTTCCCTCCGGGCGAAAAGCGTCAACTTTTCTCCCGATGTTCAAAACGAAGTTGCCGCTTTCCGCCTACGTCGAGCAGAAAAAATGTATACTCACCATGGGCAGTAAATAAGAAAGCCTCAGAACACATGTTTGTTGACCTCGGCTTCGCCTCGGCCATACATATACTCTGAGACATTTCTTACTTTACCTCCCTAGGTGAGTAATATACTATTTTTGTTTGTTCTTTCTATTACTATTATCTTTTTCTAGCAATGTCAGTTTCGATACTTATTATAACGTATAGTACATGTAGTCCTTGTTTTTAATCACATTGAAGTTTTGCTAAGAAGACGATGATTTAGAAACGAAAATCTTCCTTCATACATACAAGAGCACGAGTTAAACCGATTAGTTAAATATATCGGTTGATATATCATCTATATTTACAAAACTACACGTGCTCCTCAATTGCATTATTCTCGTCTTTCTGATATGTGCATAAAAACATTCATAAACATTCCAACATGAACATACATACAACATGAACATGCTCATATAATAATCATAATGAATTCTGTACACTTAGATATCTCGTCGTCGTTTCACAATGCAGTCTTTCGTGATACATACTTATATAGAAATTCTAAGTTTTTCATTTGTTATCATAAAAATATATAAATGACGAATAATTTATATATAAACGTTGAAAGTTCTTCCTTTTGAAATTTGTAATTTCGTTTAAAAGAGACCAAATTTTCTTCATTTTCAGCCTATGAATTGTGAAAGATCGGGTAATTTGAAGCCGTTGAACGAAAATGGCGTTGGCAAACTTCTGTGATTACTTCTGACTGGACTAAAGGTAGGAAAACTGGTGGTAGGTGTAGTGAACTGTGTAAAACTTCTCGAAGACGATTCGGTGGCAGCTAAAATGAAACCGCATTGTGCTGTACAGACGTCATCTCTTAAAATTGCTTCGCGAGATGCTTCACGTAATAGCTGATTGCAATCCGTTACGCGTAAAGATGCACATTGGGTCTGAAATTAGACAAATATATGACATAAAAAAAAATGTTTTGTTTTAATTGACATTTAACGATGTGAATTTTAATTTGAAATGCTAAAATACTTACACCTTCCGTCGTACAAACACAACTAGTACAAGGTGTAGGAAAACCAGAGTCACCAACGGCAACGTTCCTTCCACCAATTTGACATCCGTGTCTAGTTTCTCGCCAAGCAGAGAAATCCATATGCGGCATCGAACTGCAAGGTACTCTAGGATTCAAGAAATTACTTGGTAAATCAAAAGCTGCTCTTTGCATTTCCGCGTGATCGTCCATATTCTCACACATAACTTTAGACAAAGTCGTTTTACGAATTTCCGCCAATTGATGTTCGGTAAATCGAATATTAGGGTCATCGGTTTCGTACCAGAAACGATCGCATTTCCTTAATTGTCTGAATTGTATTGCTATTATGCAAGCAAATGTTGGACCTACTAAACCTCCTTGAAGAGGTCTTTCACTCATCCCACCAGGGAACAAATCAATGTCATCTACCGATGCATAGATACGTTTCATACGTGCTATAACTTCCGGTGCCATCTCTCTTGACAGATCTTCGAAGGTAGTGGCTTTCTTTAAATTACAAAGAGCTCTGTATTGATTATAAGATGGTATTCCATGATCTCTGGCTCGATGAACGTTTAGAGCAATCAAGTCCACACCAGAATGTGGAATTCGTCGATTTTCAAACAAATGATTAGTCACTTCTCCGGTGATAAATTGATCTAGAGTTTCCATAGGTGTTGATACCAATCCACGTGTCATTTCATCCACCATACCCGGTTGATAAAGCATATCAGGATTAAAGAATCCATCGCGTAAGAGTATAGGAGGATCGACGTTCTGATAATTGCGATCCATTCGTGGTAAATGCGGTCTCAATAAGGAATGACCTATTCTAAAAGCAGCCGTTGCAAACTCGTTCAAGACACTGGGATTACAAGTTGGTGAATATTCTTTGTAATAGCCTTGAGGAAGTAATTTCAAACCGTAAAGACTAACAGCATTCCATCCTAAAATTCTTGGTAAGAATTCATTGTAAGTTAAATGTTGTAGCATAGCACTGATTATACGCCGAGATTGTTGATACAATTTTTCACTATCCCAATGCGGATTAATTAGTTTCAATCCTTCGGTGATTCTATTGTGCTCTCGTATCCACATAGTATGCATAACCGTTAAGGCTGGTTGCTCCGATGCTCTACCATCCCCACCGATAAAGCAATAAGATGATCTTGCCTTACATTCTGGATGTGTAGCCGATTGTGGTAAGAAATCTTTGCCACGATTATTATTGGTTGTCATATTCATACGACCATTAAAACCACGTAAAATATTAGATATACAATTGTTCTCCCCATATACCACTGAGCCATCCAAGTAAGCTGTGTTCTGATTCACTTGTTCTCTAGGACCTAAATGTTGTTGACCGGGTAACGATCTCATCGATGGAAAACACATTCGTGCGCCAGACGTGACATTTACCGTAGGATAAAAATGATCACCTGGTGGTACAGGGAACGGATTGCATTCAGCATGAACCGTTTGTGGAGAATCGCATGATCTACAACTTGGTATAGACTCTGCGAAACCCTTGTGAATCGGTGTCATAGTTAAATCGTGATCGAGAAACTGAGCAAACTGCATAACCATTAATGTATATCTATTGTGAAGGTTCGAAATATCTGGATGAATTACTGTTGATACTACTCTTGGATTAGGTAAGGGAGCACCCGTTACTGATCTAGTTCTTGGCTTGGACACGCCGTCTTCGTAAACTGGTGGTAACAATCTAGCAAATGTGGTCAAGGATTGACCTAGATTTGGATTACGAAGATTGTTACAATGTCCTGACAATGTTCTGTATGGTGTTGTTGGATCACAAGGATTGTTATCAACTGGACATTCTATTTCATCATGATTGGTAGCCTTGTTGTGAGGTAAAAATCCAGAAATATCAACGTTTTGAAGGATATCGGAGAAATCATTATTTGGAAAGCCAAGAACGTTATCTGTGGTATCAAAAATCTGTCGCTTTCTACGTCTAAGTCCATGAACACCGTTTAAGATTTCGTTTGTTGCTAGCTCATACAGAATCGACGAATTAGCCAATAACAAAGCATCTTTGTTTGCTTTTGAAAAGCTTGCAGCTGTACCAGCTGGTGATTTAGGGTCAGCTATTCTTTGTTCCAACCAAGCATTATATTCCAATTGTTTTCTTTCGATCAGATCTTGTTCAGCTTTTTTCACTGCCATTGCTATTAAATCTGGACTAATTTCAAATGATAAATCAGGAACTGATTGAGTAGTTGTCATGTAATTATCTAGAACAGCAGGTACGGGTGCAGGTTCGTCTCTCCAAGCTGACAAATCCAATACTTCGTACTGGTTACATTTAATTTTAGCATTA